CCCGTCCTATTCTCTCCCCCATCGCACCCGGTGGGGGGAGGGGTGAGCAAGCGGCTGCGTGGTGCTCAGTGGCCGGCTGGGGTTAAACCACGACACCTGATCTGTTTTGTTCAAGTTTGCTGGGTAGAGTTTACTGCAGTATTTCTGTTTTCCTTGTTCCTGGTGACAGTGGTCTGCAATTATTTTCCTACCATTGCTAGTAGTCCTAGTGCCAAAATTTAGCAGTAGCTGTGTTGGGTGGAACAGTAGGGAGCACAGACTTCCTACAGAGAAATTTGCAGATGCAGTGTCTAAGACCCTTATTGTGCTTTTGGCAATGATAGTATATTTTGTAAGAAAATCCATTATCACCTTAATACAAAGCACCCCCAAGCTAGCCTCCACTCAAATACCTGTGGCTTGTTGGGTTGACTTCTCAGTGTTTATGAATGTGATGACATCCAAGAGAATTTCAGACCAGGAAACTCCAAAGCAACACTTTCCTACTGCCTCCTATTGTTTTAAAGATGCCATGTACTGCCCTATCACATGTGCACACAGAAACATATGCTATATATACACACACATTTACATGTGTATTTTTTCTCAAGGTGTCTATTGATAATATGCAAAATGAGTATTTAAAGATTTGATACAAACAGCACAGAGTTTTTATGAAGAGCTTTCATAAACTACAAACTCGTAATTGAGGTTCTTTTATCACTTCTGCTGGACAACAAGTCTCCACCGAGCAAAAATGCACTTACAAACCATTCTATCCTACCCAGGGTTTTAGCAGATGTGAACCAATGCATTGACTAAGTGGAAAGGAGTGGAGATGGGGAAAAGCCTTCATTAAAAAGAAAATGTACTCTTTTATGGCTTTCTACAATAAAAAAAAGGTATTAAAGCATGGCACTAACACGAAAAAATTTAAAAGATAATCACTCCAGTCTGCAGGAAATGGCATTTATGTTTCATGCAAGAAATACAGTCTTAAAATCTGTCTGGTTTAAGTGTCTGTCACCATGTGTCCATGCACCAGCTTTACTCACAGGTGCCTCTTAACTCATCAGGCAACTCAGACAATTCTGAGTAATTCTTACATTCCTTTTTCTGAAATTAAATTGTTAGGATTCTCAAATTAAATCCTCAAGAGTCTCAAATTTCAGTGCTACTATTTAAAAAACTAATTTTTTAAAAAATACAATTCCTGTTATTTTCCTGTTACAGTTTCAAAGTTTCATTTTTGGGCTAGCACAGTCATTAATGTCCTATAAACATTCATTATTGTAGGAAAAATGTGTTTATGATTATGTGACAAGATTAAAAGGAACACAGGCTAAGACATAAGTACATATTATCATTATTTATTACTTGTAATACCATAGTGCCTATGAGGTCTAATGACAAATTAAGACTTCCTGGACAATTAGAATAAAAGGATTCATTTGAGGAAAGCATTGTGGAGGACCACCTTATAATATCATAGTGGAATCAGTCTTTACAAAAACTCTCCAACTCCAGAACTGGGGCTTGATAGAATCCCCTGTTGGAAAAACATTGAGTAAAATTCTCAGCCATAAAGACAAAAAAAAGACAGTAACACTATTCAGAAAGTAAGGTCTCATTTGCAAGGGTAAGGCTTTCCTTTCTGGGCGCTAGACAGCAAAAGGGAGCTAAGACCATAGTAATGAAAAACACCGAAAAAGTTGAGATGCATCATCAGTGCAGAAGAAGATAGGAGCTTCATATAGAAAGAACTAGCTGATTTGAGCAACAGAAACTAAATGTACTTCAGGAGTACAAAAATAATACAAGAAACAGTTGAAATTGTAGCTCTAAGCTGGGAGTTATCAGCTAGAAATGAACAGGAGGCTGCAGTCATAACAGCTCTTAGGATGACTCTGAACTACCAGCATGATGCAACCACGAAAAAGGCAAATAGGATTCTGGGTTCCATGCAGAGAAAAGCTCCTGCAGAAACAGATATGTATTAATGCTACTACAGTGAGGAGAGTTCACAGGAATATTGTCCATGATTCTGGTCATCCAAGTGCAAAACAGATTATTTCAGCCTGGAGCAGACTGAGGGACAAGCTAGCCTGACGACTTCCAGATTCTGTCTACTTTTCTTTTTAGCAAGAGGAGGAGTTTTCTTTTATTTAGCCCAGTAAAACAAAGGTTGTGAGGGGCTATGATGGCATCTGTAAATACAACCAGAGCATTAACAATAAAGAGAAGAGGAGCCTCTAAGCTGCAAAACAATGTTGCCACAAGAACAAATGGGCATTAATTGTCCAGCAATAAATGCAGGCTGGAATTCTGAAGAATGTTCATAATGAAAGAAATAATATTCTGCAAATAGCCTTCAGATCAAAGCAGTGGGAGGATGAAAACACTGCCTAGCCTTGAAATAGAAATAGGTATCTACATTAAATGGGATTAAATGAGATGCACACCTGCAAATCACAGAGGACCAAGCACAGTGACCTTCTCCTTTCCCCTCCAGTGTTCCTATGTGATGCTTTCCCAGCCTATTTCTATCATGTACATTGGGGAATCTATAAGAAACACAAACCTTGACTGTGGAAGTACATTAGATATTGAAATATCTTTTAAGTTACATTCTTCTTAAAAGTAACCTTTAAAATATAATCTATAAATGTACAACTACAGTGAAGTCACATCTCTATAAGTACTAGATGGGAACAAGAGAAAAGACTGGATAATTCTGAGCGTGCAGAGACAAACTGTGGTTGTTCACTACCTCTTTTGATGGAAAAGCTGGAAGACATCATCTGAAAATAGCCTGTTCAAAAAAAACCCAGTCCCCCACTGCCTTCCCCCTGCTGCCCCACCAAAGCCCCACAAAAAAGCCTGGCAACCAGAGAGCTGGTTCTTCACATGACGTGGTCAAGCTGCAGAACTCCTTGCTATGGGATGCTGTAGATGCCAAGACTTTACAGGATTAAGAAGAGGGACACTGGACAAGTTGTCATTCCATTAATATATTGAGACCCATTAAATAGACCAGAAGACCCCAACTGCTAAGTTTTGGAAGCTGAGAGTTGTCAGCCTCATTCTTACACTCCTCCCGAGGCATTCACTTCTGCCACTGTCGGAGGCAGGATACTAGGTTGATTAACTACTGCTTTGATGCAGCACTGCTGTTCTTGCATTACATTCAACCAGCAGAGCACAGTACAGCTCATTTACCCCATATTAGAAGGGATTTCATTTGGTTTGAGGCTCAGGCAGTAGCAGGTCTTGGGTTCCCATTCTGCAGAATGTAGCATGCAAGTAAACTGCCTTCACAGAGCTCTGCAGAGGTACTATGGTCTTCCTATGCTGAACCTACACCTTACTCCTTCCCACAGGTTTTCTTCTGAAAATGAAAAGTCATCTTCTGCTTTAAGGATCGGTACATTCCTTCCTATAAAACCAGCTTAAACCTTGCTCTAATTGCCTGTTGTACCTTTTTAGGATTCCAAGAAAAAAAATTTGAAAAAAGCTATACAGAATTGACCGAAGGGGAAAAAAAAAGCCAGCAAAACCCAAGCAAACAACACAGACATGCAAAACTCACCACATTTCATCATTCCCACTTCATAACATTTCCGTAGCCGGCATGCCTGGCAGCTTTTGCGCCTGTTTTTGTCTATCGTGCATTGATTGGTGGCTGGGCAGATGTAATCGTTATGTCCTGCAGCAGAGCAAGAAGAGAAAATTTAACATCTCCAACAGTCTCTCTTGGTCATTTCCCAAACCAGGACCTTCTTGATTTGAAACATCTCAACTTTTTCATATGCATATATCTAAGCTCCATTAATTTAACTGATGCAAAAATGCATATTTATCCTATACTGAAAACATCAACCTGTGGCCTCAAAAAGTAACCAGACAACATCGATCAGCTTTTACTGATGACTGTTAGATAACCAAGCAACTCATTTTTGAAAACGGGACATATACTCTTGTGGAAATTTGCTCCCAATCTCCAACTTCTTACTGTATATTGGGACTCTGAAGATGGCAGATAGTAGATTTTTTTTTTTCCTCAGCAGAGTTGAAAACAGCAGTGCACACAGCTTCAGTCCTGCAAAGATTTAAGTAAACTACAGCTCTATTTACTGAACTCTCTGACGTGGTGAGTTCCAGGAATGAAGAAGCCTTTGGAGGATTGACCCTGGACCAAAGTTAATAAAAAAAAAGCAGCCCAAGAGAGAAAGATGACTAGTATAAAATAATGCATACTGTATAGTACAAAGAAAAGCACAAGCAGAAGGTATAACTTTTAGATGTTGTGGACAAGTGTTTCTCTTATTTTCTTCAGTTTCCACTACAGCCTCTTCTGTTGTCACCTCGCCCCCACCCAAACCCCTTTACATTATTGTATTTCATTAATCAATAATCTGGTCTAAAGGTTTATTACTGTAAACTGGACTTTAGTATGCTCGTGGTGTAAATACAGTCAAATCATCTCCTGCCAAATATGGGAAATCTCTCTTGCAGTAGTTTCCAAAGGATGCAAAAAATATTCACTCATTTACATTTCTTAATGTATTTTCTCTCAGGTTATTTTTTAAGTTATTTTTTCAAACTTTAAGAATAGATCAGGCAAAGATACAGCTACTACATTTTTTTTTTACTTGATGCAAGTCCAAGAGTTCATGTCCCCAAGAGTAACTATTTAACTGAACCATTGTGACTATTTCCTTGCAAAATTAAAATAATTTTAACCTTGAATTTTTGAACCGACAATTTTAAAAAGAAGAGATCAGGTTACAGTCTGTCCCATTTCCTACTGGCAGATATGACTGAAAAACAAATTACTGTTTATCACTCTTCACACAACATGGGGGGAAAGGAGGAGGAAGCTCTCTGCTGCACTATAACCCAAGCACACAGGAGTATAAAGTGGTTTAAAACTCCTGTGGCCTTGGGATAATTTAGCTTGGAGGCAGATGTTCAGAGATGTGGGACGAATACACTACACTGTAAATTTGGACAAGCGGAGGAGACCACACACAGTTGCTCAGTCATACCATCTAATTTTAATTAGACATTAGCCCAAGGTTTTTGCCTATGGTAGGCCTGGAAGTTTTGTATTTTTATAAGCAATATCCTTCATAACAACAGTTGCAACTGAGTGCTTGGTAGTGTTTTATGCCAAGAACTTACTTTCATTTACTTGAACTACAAAGAACTGTTACCTGACAGGGTACGTTAAGGTGTACAAAAGGCCACAATGGGAAACGTGTTCACGGCCAAAGCACATGTGAGCAACGCAGAGCAGGCAAATAATTTTCCTGACAGAAAACACTTGGAGATCAAATTCAGTCTCCATTTGTGACAAACTGGAGACAAAGTTCTCTTCAATTATCTTAGAAATCAAAAGAACTTACACCAGTTTATAGAAATTGTTATTCACCCACGCAGAACTTGCACAATAAATTCAAAAGGCAAACAAGTTTTGAATTCAATTTGATTCTAATGGTGACACCAAATCTGCTATATTGATCCAAAAGAAAATATCTCAAGATTGCTAAAGGCTTTGTGTGCAGAAGAGGAAGGGAACATTACAGACCGAAAAATGACAGGATTTTCTGAGTTAGTATCTGCATTTATATCCAATGTCAATCCAATTAAGTTTCCCGCAAGAGGCCCCAGATGAGGCCAAAGAACACAGTAACTAGAGCCAAGGTTAAAGAAATGAAGTGGTCCAAAGCTGCAATACGGTGCGTAAGTCACTGCCCATAGGAGACCTACATTTACTTCATACTTCAGCCACTCAGCAAATTTGAACTAAATAGCAAATATTTAAGAATTTAAACACTGAAGTGGAAATCTTAGATACAGAGATCTGGCAGAATTAAGAAATACTGCAATGTAGGCTCTGGGGGGTGGGGGGCTAAGAAATAACAGTAATCAGGTTTGTATCTAATGCCACACATATTTTTATATCCTACATACTGTGTAGGTATTATATGCTATGACTCAACAGCTTCAGGCAATACACTCTTGTCAAGAATAGTTCCTGGCAAGCAAAGTCTCCAGGCAATTATCTACTCTAACTGTGTCTATTATAACAAATTCACAATTACTATGCCTACTTTGGGACACAAACTGCAATCAGATTCACAGGTCTGCAGTGCCATCCCACCGAGGCTTTTGCTGCAGGGCCTTCCCATGCTATGTATTCCACCTCTTCTCTAAAGAAATCAATTGCTCACTCTGTGACATTTCCAGATCTTGATAACATAAGAGCCAAAAGATAAAGTAGTCAAATCATGTGTTGCTCTATTTTCAGCATGCAGCACCATACACCAGGATTTTAGATCAACTCATTACCAGATCAACCGCTGCAGCCCCTGATTACATGAAAAAACTTACTTGAGCGAAGTTATCAAATTCTCCTACCTTGAATACTTCTTTTAAAGAATGCTTTGCAGCCTTCACATGACCAGACCCCATAGTGGTATCCTGAAGCATAGTCACTGCAGACTGCACAGAAGTGGGCATCCCTTTTCGAGCCAGGATTATTTGCAATTGGGCTTGTACAGTCATTGCCATTAGTTTTTCTTTTTAACGTTTCTCTGATAGAAAAGAAAAACATCTGTTATAAAAGAGGAAAAAAGTAATCTACATTGCAAAGAGTTGCGTTATTTTCCACTGTCTTCTTATTACTGAACACAGGATAGTGTGAAACACTGTTAAGCCATTTTCTGGTAAGGTTATTTAAAGCATATAGTCGATCACAGAGCTTTCAGTGATGACAGACTATAAAGTTTTAAAATACTCAAAGGCATAAAACTGGACTGCTGATGTGTCATTCACATCAACTCTGGGAAAATCATATGGAATGCTGATAGATCTTGAAGAATCCTTGGAAATGTACAAGTCCAGGAATTTGCGAACCAAGTGGACTTTGCCTTTGGGAAGCTTTGCTTGGAAAATGTGAACTCAGACAGCTCGGACTGACATGATAAACACTACCACCAACAGAGCTGCAGTTGCTTCGTACTGTTAGCAAGGCAAAATTCTAGATGGAGCAATACACATCTAGTCTCAAGTATTTCATCCTTTAAACGAGGCTTTATTCACTCAGTGAGAAGCTGGAGAGAAATATCTTGAGATGTGAATCTCAGCCTACAAGATCAACTCATAATGTTAGACAAAGTTTTCTGTTCAAGGTGATGAGCCACGTTGATCACCTAATGCTAAATAAAAGGAAGTCTGAATACAAGAGGAATGAAGAAACACAATTAATAAAATACTTTCATACATAAAAAAATTATTGCTCCGTATAAATTAATAAGATATATGCATTCCTGAAGCACTGCAAATAGTTCCAACTTACTGCGACTATTCTTAGTGACTGGATTAAAATTAGAACAGGATAAAAACATGAAATAACAGCCAATTCCTGACACCAAGATCCTGTAAACAAACAGCAAGAGGAAAGGAACTTAGATTATCAGTAAAGTGGTTTTTAGGTATAGGAAGCACATCCATTGTGTGCTTTTTCTCTGGATCTCATTTTCTTAGTGGTTTTAGCATGCCTTACCTTCATGGTCAATACAATTTCTAGATAGAGAGAAAATAGTGTCACATGCAAACTCTCAGCAGCAGTTTAACAAAAGGAAAGCTGTATAGTCAACTTATAGGTATAAACTTAAGCACAGAGGCAGAAGTCAGAAACTGCAGAATTTTCCTCATCCCAGCTTCCAGCAGGATTAGGGAGGAGAAGAAATATCAGTTGGGATAAGACAGCAGGCAGCATGGCTCATGACTTTTAAAGAACAAGGGTACATTGCCAGGGCATAAGAAACATGTTTACCAGCAAGAGCAAGTTTAAATGGAACAGTAGAAACATTCTGAAAGTGCTGTCGAAGAGGCCTTAACTAACATATTAAAAGTAGACTTTGTGCTGGTTTCATGACAGGAGGTAAGGACAAACACACCCACATGCCAACTAAAAATCATCAAGTTTGTAAGTATTTGAGGAGAACGTGCTCCAATTTCCTAGTAGAAAATTTGGAAAGGAAAAAAGGTGGTTCTCTGAGCAAATTCCAAAACAGAATAATTAAGGTATTTGTTGTACAATTAAGTTACTGCAAGCTTTTAGAAAATGTTAATTCATTCAGATATTGCAGGATATAAGGCTGTTTAGATGTTTAACGAGCCCAGCCTTTGATTACACACACCCCCGCATTAATGGATTGACGCATCACTAAGTTATTTCCCCTTCTGCCACGCTGGGAAGACCAGTGTGGGGGAGCTCTCCCTTAGAATAAAGGGACTGTATCACACGTGCCTAACATGCTGCTAACGCAAGGAGGAAAAAGCATTGCTATTCCTTCCTGTTTCCCTCTATTTGGAAGAAAAAGTAATTTGGCATTTCAGATTAGTAGAAGAGGTATATTTTTAAGCTCTACTTGGGAATCATGATCCAATTGTGAGAGTCAGAAAAGAATCAAAATCAGCTAGAGAGCATCTCAGTGACTGATTGATATGCTGTAGAGAGCGATGTTTATTGCCCTCGTTAAAGCACCGAGGTGTTATGGATGAAAATAAAGAAAAAGCACACACCGTAACGTCTCACTAAGGAGTGCTGGTTTTTACCTTCCAGTCATGACAAGTGTTTTAAAAAACACTTTTTCTTTCCTTGCTTAAAAGTTTAATGACAGTCACTCCGCACATATGCAAGCTGCGTGGCTTCCACAGGCTGTGGCAAACAGCTTGCACGCAGAGCAACAATCTGGAACAAATTCCTCCTGCAGGGGCCGAACGGGCATCAAATCTGCTCGTCTGCAATAGCTGCAGCAGCGCAGCAGGAGGTTCAAACCCAATCGTTTTGTTACTGTCGTCTTTAAGGACAACAGAGCTAAGAAATAGTCGAGAGCTTTAAGGTACGCGTTCCTTACCCTGAGGACCTCGCGATCAGACAGCGTACCCACACAAAGAGCAAACTGGAATGGGTAGCCCCACGCGGGGTTAGAGACCACCTCCCAGCGCTCTTGGTACACTCCAGCACGCTCAGCAGATGGACGAGCTGCCAGGTCCTCCAGAAGAACTGGCGGTAGCTGGCTGTATGCCCACAGAGCTCCTGCACCGAAGGATGCAGGAAAATGGGGGGTGTGCCCTGGCTGCTACTGAGGAGCTGTATGGACAAAGATTTATCGCTTTACACCTATTACTCCTCTCTATTTTATGATCATGGTTTCTATATAGAGATATTATGTTTCCATAAAAAGAATTAAGATTTTTTTGAAAGTAACAAGTCAGTGATTTCCTACTAGTCATCAACAGTGAGAAGATGATTACCCTAAAGGAGAAGGAATTAGCAAGAGAATTTAGGTTATTCAGTATCTATTGTGTCTCCTAATTACCTCTAGCTTTGCTACAGCAAGCGTTTGATGCATATGCCACACTTGGAAAACTTGAACCTAAATTCAAATTTTTATAAAAAATGAAGAAGGGTGGCAAGGATTTGACCTAGAAAGTAGCAAGATTTGCTCATGGCATTTGTTGTCTATCAGGTTTTTTTAAAACCTAAGCTATTGTACACCATAAAAAGAAAGAGAGAAAAAAAACACTGAGAAAATTTAAAAAAAAAAATCCATTAAGTCAAAAATTAATAGTCCAGATTTTATAATTTCTTATAATCTTCCCTCCAACAGGCCACTGGCTCATTCAGTGCCTGGAGATAATTCAATCGCATACAAACCTAAGCTGTAGGATGAAGAAGGCTCTTCCATTCTCTCCCAGAATGTGTGCAAGATGATAGGCAAAAATCCGCTGAAGAATACTTTTCAATCTTTATCTTCCTCATTTTCTACAGACTCCCTCCACTATAACTTCTAGAATTGTTAATACCACACAACTGTCAATCCCTATGTCTCCAAAGCACAGGTTCTGCTATGCTCCAAACACTGATTAATATGCTGAAAATCATGTCATAGATTTCTCAAAATTAAGAGACATATTTTTGCTTAATCTCTATAACTATTCCATCACCAAATGGAGATGCCAACCCATCACCTCAAAGAGACTTCAAGATACGTTTAAGTGCTCTGCAGAATGAGCACAATACAAAAAGCATAGGAGAATAACGCAAATAATTATGGCTTCAGAGCAGAGTTTAAGCCATGTATAAATATGATATTAGCGCACAGTGAACAAGACAAAGTTACTAAATAATTTCTAATTAAGCAAGCATTGCTAGCCTGTGTACCCCAAAACCTTTACTTACACGCTCTACCTGCAATTAGTCAGAACCACAAGGAAAATAACAGAAAAGAAGACCAAGTTAAGTTTCAGAAACATCACTCTGGCAACTTCATCTAAGTTTCCTAACACTTTTTAGAAAATAATATACCTGTTCATTTTGAAAAGAAACCTTTTGTTTCTTTAATTAAAATCCTTTTATTTAGGGGATGAAGACAGAAATCAATTTCAGATTCCTTTTAAATATAATATAATTACACTGTCACATTCCTTTTCTCTTCATTTAATTTTAATATAAATTGAGTGATCCTGCACCAATAAAATTTATGACAATATGTCTATTGTCTTCACTAGGACCTACAATGCAAATAAATATAGCGGAGTCTTTATCACAAATTATTGCCATTTTGTACAAGAAAATGGAACTCTAAAAATTCACATCTATTTTTACATGGAATACAATTTATTTTTGTTGAACTATTGGTGCAAAGTAACGCTACGCTGCATAGCATTTGCATTTAGCAAAGTTAAATAAATTTCTTCTGTATTCATATAATGAACCTATTTGTGAGGAAAGGGAATGCTGAAAATTCAGGTTCCTTATTTTAAGCTGATCTACAAGGAGATCCAAATTACACAGTGATCAGCTTTAGCAAAGTGGACCACATTAGTTTAGCTAATGTTAACGGAAATTTACACCCAGGGAAAATAAAATCCTCTCACGGTGAGACTCTTGCTTTATTTTGAAAGGTAAAATAAACTGGGTAACAGGTTTAAATATGTCACAATGCTTTCTTACTCATCTTTCAAACAAAATCCCTTTTCTCAAACTACAATGCTGTTTAAAATTACTTACACTTTACAGCATTAGTATCTCCCTTCCCCCAGAGCTATTCCTTTAAGTTTCAACCCCAAGAACTCTTCCTTCAAGGTATAATCTACGAAGCTGTAGTGCCACAGTCATTGTTCCCATGGCAATAAATATAATGTTCATGACATTAACTTAAGATCACCAAAAGATAAAGCAAAAGGAAGCATAGGGCTTTTTTTCTTTACAGCCTTATTTCAGGACAGATATCCACAATAAGGGAATTACAGCTTTTGCTTTTTGTGTTTCCATGTCAATTTTTTTTTCTTTTTTACAACTTCTATACACAAAGTGGGGGTTACAATGCATCATACTGAGACAAATGAACCACTGAGAAGGTCCAGCTACCAAGCAACACAGTAGTTACTTGCTGTTGAACAATGAAGATCATTCATAAATTTAGACTCCAAATTTCACTTCTCTTCTTTAAGTTAAGTCATCATCAGCTACAAGAGCAATAGTCTGTATGAATCTGCACAAATGGCAGAAGACTTGTTTACTTAAACTCCAGTGTGGCAAGTTTGGCTTCCCTTCTGTCTATGTAGAGAGCACACTGCAGAGCATCAGATGGGGTGCTCTTGCTCTTGGGTTATTCCAGCTGCTGTCCCATCATCCAGGCAGTTTCAAACACTAAGCTACAGCAGCCTTCCCAGGGCTGTCAAAGTTTTGAAACTTTAACCAAAGCGGGAAGAGTTTGGATGTTAGCCCTATTCACGTTAGATCTGCTTGGGGAATTCTTCTGTATATAAGCGCTACCCAAATGGCCTCTCCCAATCCACACACCGACACTTAAAGTAGATTTGCACTCCAGAACAGCCTGCTACCCTCTGCTGACTCCAAATAGTGACTAGTCAGGTGGCCAGGCTGAAGATCTGTGCAGCCTACAAGTCCAAAGTAGACGTAGATCTCACGCCTTAGCCTTGTGCAGTCAACGTAAGGCCCACCCATTGCAGAAGGAACGTGGGTAGTCTCAAAAATATCACAAATCCTTTATTAACAATTGAACTAAAACTGTTGCCAGGACACACTATTTTTCATACTGACAATGACTGCTGAAGTTAAATAAGAAGCCCTATGAATAAACATACAGCTGCTAAAACAGGAACAGCACCTGCAAAACCATGTGCTTTTATCCATCCAACAGCTTTTGTGCCCGTGAATGGAGTAATTTCATCAGCTGATGATCTACATTCCTTGTGGTTTGTAATATGAGTAAATGTGCAGAATGGGAACATGTTTGTGCAAACACCGTTTCTTTACAGCTGAAAATTTAGCCCATGAATCTGCTGTTCGTAACGCCTTCATGAAGTCAGTTCAGAGCAGCAACAAGAAACAACGTCAGACTTCCCAGTAGCAGCACTCTTTTGAACATGATGCATGTTGCTGTGTGACTGTTAATACTAAAACCAAAAACCAAAGAAAATTCTAAGTTCATGAAAAGCCTTCATAACTATTAGATGCAGTTAAAAAAAAAAAATCCAGATAAAATGGAATTCAAACAATGTTGTACGAAAAGGAAAAAAGAACGAACCTTTACTTCTTTCACTCACAGGCCTTAATTTGCCAGAGCAAAATTCATTTTTATTACACAAAGTAGTACCTAGCAGTCTTGAACTTTTTTTTACACACAGCAAACAGTTCTCACATTGAAGGCATTTGTAGTGCTTTATGTCGGTGTATACTTCTCTAAGGAGCTACTGAAAAAGAAATCCTATTTCAGAAGTTACATTAAAAAAACCACAAAACCCAGGACTGATTTGGTGTTTGGTGGAGGATTTTTGGTTTGGTTTGGTTTTCCAGAGAGACCAACACATAGAAGTCAAATGTAAAAAGAAAAAACTTAAAAGAACTAAGGAAACTGTAAATAATTTTCAGCAAAGTTTTAAAGAAATGAGTAGTACTGACCTGGTCACAGGTAGCACTGGCTCCATCGGTCTTGCTTCACACCACGGACTCCGTGGCTGCTCCGCATACAGAAGCGAAGACTGACAGTGCAATGTCAGAGGGGAGAGGTGGCCAGGAGCAGACCATAACACGTTGGGGCTTGATGTTTGCCTCACAGATGCACTCTCTGAATCACCAAAATTGCTGGTAATGCTGTAATTCATCACAGCAGGACTGCAGAATGCCATCGCAGAATATTCATGTCTGTTTTCCATGTAAGATGAGGGAATATAGACTGGACTGTGTTCTGCTGTCAACGTGGACTGATTACAGCTGTAGGGAACTGGAGAGACGATACCAGCGGGTGAGTTTTTAATTTCTGTTTTATTGCATCCAATATCCTGAAGTGGCAGCAACTGAGAAAAGTCCTTGTGAGAAGATGCACACAGGGACATTTTGAGGCAAGACTGAAGACTGTTGTTTAAATATTCATCCTAAGATGGTAAGGTATAAAAAAAGTTGAATTAAAAAGTAAGAAAGTTCTGTATTAAGTCTGTTCTATAAAAGAAGAAAGGAATCAGTAAAATAGAAAATATAAAAATATCCTGTTAAAACAGGTTACATACCAAATGCACTTAAACAGTCAAATTCACTACCTTTAGGGAAAAGAATGCTTTCTAGAACTTCCTTAAAAATAAAGGCTAAGACACACGTTGAGTTTGGACTCCCTTAAAAAATAATAACCAAAAAAAAAAAAAAAATCACCTGAAGTCTGAAACAAAGATGCCAGTGACAACTTGGATCTTAACAAAAGCAACTCGTTACAACCAGGGTAAAACTGCTCTATGTCAGAGGCAAAATTACCCTATGGACCACAACTGTGGGGTGAGTGCCCTGAGAAATCAATTCTCTTTTTAAAAACTCACCACCTCCTGCTCCCGCTGTAAGTGTACTTCAGCCTTCCCTTTATCAACACAAACATGCAACAGCGGGTATTTTGAACATGCGCAAACACACACACACACATATGTCTCCTTTACCTTCCAAAACCAGAACTCCACTGCAAATCCCTCTCCACAGAGGAGGAAGACATGTAATGGATGTCAGTAAGCAATGCAACTTCATCACTGAGAGGTCCCTGGATAGGGCATCTCTGAACAGAGCCATTACAAAAGCAGAAGTCACAAAATGCAGATATTTCCAAAGCTGACAGGACAGAACTTGAGCGATTTCATAAGGTCCAGAAGTTTTATAATTTCCTGCCACTCTCCATCCCCATCCCAACTACTCTTCATCCTTCCTCCCATCTGAATCAACTATCAAAACAGAGACCTTAATTTGCCCACAGTAAATAGTCTTTGTCAGATTTAGGTATATCCAAATTATTCAAGGGACAAAAAATTTTGAAAAGAAAAAAAAAAAGCCCACCACAACCATCCTCCTAAGACATAACCCCTGTCCTGGAAGCGTCACTTTTACAGTAGCATTTAAAAATATTTCGTTTTTATTCTTCACTATGGGTTTCATCTGCAATTCATTCCAGCTTTGAAGACAGACATGCAGCCCTCTGATAGCTTGCAATCCAAAACAGTTCTGTTTCCAAAATAGCAAGTTGCAGCCCCCAGAACTGATATTGTAGTGTACTTTTACAGATGGTAGTAAGATCTTAATATGAAAAATCATGGGATAATTAAAAAGTCACCCACAGCTTTGCTATTCCAGAAGTGGCCAAAGTGTTGATGCTAAATATTCTTACCTTTTTTCACTTCACGTGGCCATAAAACAAGATGAGGAAGATTCAAACACAGGTTTGCTGAAGTACCAGCAACCTCCCTGTCCCAAAAATTCTCAGCCAGATGGCATTTCTAGCACGCCGACTTGGGGCATTGACACATTTTTTTCCTCTACGGCCAGGACTGAGGGTAGAAGCGTTAACAAAAAATGTAAGAAATGTCTTTTTGAATAAAATGGATAGTTTAGGGTCCATCCTTCCTTCTCACTTTGCACTCTGTTGATGAAACTGGAGATATCTGTAGAAATAACCAGGAACTCATTTAAATCAGCTCAGGCACTTCAGATCCAGCTGCTGTTTTTTCCTTTGTGGGAAACAGGAAAATGAGATATCTCAGCAGCTGTTTATGTCCAGCAGTTGTACTGGAACTCCGATGCAATCAAAGCAGGAGAATCTGACCTCACTCCTCACACAGTCTACACGCGTCATTTGCCCCAGCCAGATGCTTCACGGACTCCTCTAAGAGAAACGAACCATCATTCAATATTCACTGCAAAAAGCACTGAAAATCCCAAAAGTGCTTTCACTCCCAGATTATGGGGTGGGTAGCCCAAATAATTTTTAATCAGCAAATGATGGAACTAAGTCTTACGACTATTTTCAGTGGTTACTATGAATGGGCCCAGTGAGCACACTGAATTCAAAATGCATTTAAAGCTTCTGTGTAGGTAAAGCTGTACATCATTTGCGATCTCAGAGGCTGCACGTATTCAAGGTGCGTGTGGACACTCTGCAGGAGCATCTGGAATGTCCAGCAAGAGCCGACTGCGCTAACTGTGTCCCTCTGCCCCCCTGCAAAGGGCACACAGTGCAGGGTAACCCCAAACCCTTCCGAGAGAAGGACCTGGCAGGCATTACAACACCACCTCTGTTACAGTCAGCTAGAGACATTCTGCTATGACACTTCGATAGTTTCTGCAGCAGGCAACTGGTTGTGTAGTTTCCCCGCGACATTTGGAAAATATATGCATGTACACTGTAGAAGCAGAGAGAACACAGAGCTGGTACTACACAATTTTGTGAACTGAAATCAGCTGAGCTTTAAGTCATGTTTTTCTGGAGAGGTAACCCAGTAGAGTGGTATGCAGGTTCTGCAGTGGTATGTCGGTTTTGCCTATTTAGCAGAAGGACATACTCTCTCCAAAGGGCAACACACAGTATTTAGAAACATACACAGAAGTTCTGAGAAGCAAGAGTGACGTTTGTTTTAGAGGGAGGAGTCCATGCAAGCATGAAAAGTCAGTACAGCCTTCCTCAAAAACAGACTGCTCATGACTTATTTACAAGAGAAGGGACTCTGGATTCCAGGAGGTTAAAGAAAACTGCACTCATGGTCTTCAGCAGACTGCAATATAGTGAAAAAATAACAGCATTGGCTTAAGATAATTAACTTGGGTAGTAGAAATAGTTTAGCCACAGTAGACTATGGATCTACATGAGATCACATTGTTCACATTTCCTTCTACCTACCTTTACATTTCTCTCCTTACCAGAGAATTTAGAACGGGAAGCCCAGAGCCTCACAAATAAAGTGAAGCTGCTAAAATTATCCAGTATTGCTCAGAAGGTCCTAAAAACTGGACTATGAAGTTCTATGTCTTAAAGAAGGACTGCAGATTCAGGGAACCAGATCTTAAGATTTAAGGCTAGAGAAAACAAACTCCAGTAACACCAATACCTCAGAAGGAAGCATGACCACATCTAAGTCAAGGCTTACAATAAGTAGTGCAACAGGCTAATAAATCTGTTCCATCCTGGTATAATATCCTAGTATCTTAAGCACCATTCATTAAACAGAAATGAGCTTCTACATAAAGTGAACTCCCATTCCAACATCTCCTCCTTCTCTGAAGAAAGATTTTAAAAGCAAGATTCAACTTTAAATTACATTATTCAGACCTAATTTATCAGCACTGCACTAGATCTGTACCAGACATGGAAACAAAATAGATATGCATTATTTTCATACTACAGTCTTCTGGGAGACTGCAAATGTTTCAGTCCACTTAAATCAGTTTATCTTAGCAAGGTACTCAACAGCTGAAATGCCATTATTTAGTAAACAGCCATTTTGTCCAATTCCTTGAGTAACACTTACCATTCACAAATCTAAGTCCCTAAGGGCAGTGTTCACATCTGGCATAAGAGAAAATAGTTTCATTGGCTCCAATACACAGAGGGTGACGCCACTGTCCATGAGGATGTAGGAACAAAAATCTAATGTTATCAGTGTTCTCCACAAAAAAAAATTAGGTTTCTGGTCTTTAAACAGCTCTACATATTGAACCTGATGTATCTTGAGAGTGACCATGCAAGACACACCAGATCACGCACAAGAACTGGTTTAGATGTCATAGTCAAATAGATACACGGGTAAATAATTAAGCCATCTGACCTATTTGAACAAACTCAGAAGCCAGTTATTGCACATTACCTACACCAAGTATCTTTTTTAAAGCCTTGTATGAAATAAATAATTTAATTTTGTTTGTTTGTTTGTTTTGGAAAGGGGAAAAAATAGGTAGAGAGGGCAGGCTGCCATGTTTTAGAGCCTGCTTGGAAACATAATACAATAGCTTTTCCTAGAAAAATGCAACAGTCTGCAAAAAGTGATAGAGTGATGGATGTTCTCAGGCACCATTCCATCAACATACACCACAACATGCTTAGAATTTTATAGGCAAGTCATATATTTTGAGCAAAGACTTTTTTGCAATAGAGAATTAAGATGACCTTTTCCTCTGCTAGGCTTAAATTAAAGTGCAATCATTCTTCCTTTCATTTTAATAGAGGTGATTCAGCAAGCATGCATTCCACTACCCCACAGCCTAAGCCCCTCACTCATCTTGCAAAGCATTCTATTAATATTGTGTTAAGTTAAACTTCATGCAACAATGAACTGAATCATTTTCTCAAAAACTGATCATTAAAGGAAAGTCATTCCTGATGCATAAAATGGCACTTGTGCTTCAAGTTTTGTGAAAAACTTATTACTCATTAAACACAGCAGTGCCAGATACTGCCAACAGAAGGCATATAAGTAAACAAGTTTATTATTACCTGAGAAGGACTAGATGCAACAAGTAGGGGATAGATAGGGAAGCAAAAAGAAAATAAAGCTATCATTCCAGACATCAGATGTTTTACTCACTCCTGCAAAATTAATAGCCTGTTCTCAATGAGATCAAGACCTCCTCTGAAGAAAATACTGCAGATTAAAAACCATAGGGGCAAGAATACTTTGAAACACTTAAGCAAAAGGAGCACTCTCTTTGGCCTATCTTAGCCTTTGTGTTACTGAGGACACTGACAAATGCTAGGTTATTCTAAACATTCATAAATATATTTCAGGGCTCAATGCATATGATATACACAGAGGCACCAAGGGAACTGGGTTTGTTCCACCAGAGGAACACAAGACTACAGGAGGGTGTAACTCCAGTCTTCTACTCCCTAAAGTGGAGTTACAAAGACGACAAAGCCAGGCTCTTTTCAGAAAAAGTGCACAAGCCAGGACAAGAGATTACAGTCACAAGTCAGTGCAAGGGAAATTCCAGCGGACATATGAAAAAACTCTCCACAATGAGAATTAAGTACAGGAACAGGATACCCAGAAAGGCTGTGAAATCTCCATCTTTGGAGATATAAAAAAAACTTGCCTGAAAAAGGCCCTAAGCAACCTGACCTCACTTCAAGCAGGAT